GATGTAGAGCTAACGCAGCCACGAGACAGGGCAAGTGAGAGCAAACACCAACAGAAGAGTCTTTTTTTTGGAATATTTTTGGTTTGTTTTTTTTAAGAATAAAAGAAAGGTATTTTTAGAAAATATTCAGAAATGGAAAATTAAACAAAAAATGGCCCTGATGTAGAGCAAACGCAGCCACGAGACAGGGCAAGTGAGAGCAAACACCAACAGAAGAGTCTTTTTTTTTTAGAATATTTTTATTTTTTTAAGAATAAAAGACAGGTATTTTTAAAAATATTCAGAAATGGAAAATTAACCAAAAACTGGCCCTGATGTGGACCAAACACAGCCACGAGACAGGGCAATCGAGAGCACACACCAACAGAAGAGTCTTTGATTTTTTTAGAATATTTTTGGTTTTTTTTAAGAATAAAGGAAAGGTATTTTTAGAAAATATTCAGAAATGGAAAATTAAACAAAAACTGGCCCTGATGTGGACCAAACACAGCCACGAGACAGGGCAAGTAAGAGCAAACACCAACAGAAGAGTCTTTGATTTTTTTAGAATATTTTTGTTTTTTTTTTAAGAATAAAGGAAAGGTATTTTTAGAAAATAGCTGGCCCTGATGTAGAGCTAACAGCAGGAGACAGGGCAAACGATCTAAATAATTAATCTAAACCTAACACAGCCAAAAGACAGCCAAAACTTAAGCAAGCACATACCAACAGAAGAGTTTTCACTAAGCCAACCAAGCCAAGCCAGCAGCCACGCCAACCCAAAGCAAGCCAAGCAGCCCTCCCAGACCTCTCTCCTCCCTCGCCTCCGCGCTACAAATGAGCTCCGCGGCCGCGCGGAGCCGCTTTTAAAGGGCTCGCCAGCCAATCAAAAGCAGCCACGGTGCACTTGGGTGCTGGGAGCGCCGGATTGGCTCCCAGGCACCAGCAGCCTCCATTTCATTAACGAAACGAGCGGAAGCTCGTTAAATCAATGTGGCTGACGCTTCGATATTTTAAAACCCTTCCGGGTTTGAAAATATGTTTTGATATCGCTTCGGAAATGCCCAAAATAACGAATGTTTAACGAATTAACGAAATAACGAACGAAACCGCACAGGCCTAATTTTTTTACCACGAAGTGCCTATCTCATCGAGATGATGAGATAGGAGCCCCCAGTGGCACAGTGGGTCAAACCCTTGTGCCAGCAGGACTGAAAACTGACAGGTCGCAGGTTCGAATTTGGGGAGAGCACAGATGACCTCCCTCTGTCAGCTCCCACTCCCCCGGTGGGGACATGAGAGAAGCCTCCCACAAGGATTTTTTAAATTTTAATTGTTTTATTGGTTTTTCCCACTCCCACCCTCCCCTCCTTGTACATGCAATTTATACATAAATTTATACAATTTATACATCAAACTACAGAAGTTACATTTGAAATTGAATCTGGATAACATCTCAGCCTCCCACAAGGATGATAAAACATCAAAACATCCAAGCATGTCCTGGGCAACGTCCTTGCAGACGGCCAATTCTCACACACCAGAAGCTTGCAGTTTCTCAAGTCACTCCTGACACACACACAAAAAAAAAACACCATCAAGATGATAGAACAATGCATTCAACAGTCACATGAAAATCAAGAATAAACATGCACTCTAGCTTTTCAAGTAGAGTGGATAAGCAGAATAGTTATGTGCTTACTTACTCCTTCTAACAAAAATGTCTGATTTCTTCAAATGGACACTTTTTGTTTGATTTATGACAGCTTGTGGAAAATTTCAAACTACTGAAAACACTATTTTTTCAATGAACCCATATACAATTGCTTTATTTGTGGATACACAGATAGACAGAAAAAAGTGATAGATTTTTAAAATTTAAACATTTTCTCATTCATCCCTTCATTACACAAAGGTTCATCCATTTTTTTCTATGTAGCTATTGTGAAAATGAATGTTGTTTTGATACAGAATATGATCCATGATCACACCAGTATTACTTTATTTGATTTCCCCATACCTCCTATAAATGTAGAATCAAGCACACTGCACACCCAGTAGGAGAGGCAAGAAACCCACAAGAACAAGGAGAGAACAACCACTTCCACAGCCTAGTAGCGTATACAATAACAATAAAGTAAGTGTGATGATACAATACTGGGAAAAATTATGGAAACACTTTCTGAAGCATGGGCATGTCTTGATATGGCCATGGTTGCAAATTTTACCATCTTTTTGCAAAGACAGCTTCTCTGCTGGAAACAAAGAAGAATGGTGCCACAGTATGGGGTGCCCTGCTACAGGGTGCCACCATAAACAGTTAGATCAGCCTTGTCCATCATAGAGCCTTCCAGTTCTACTGGGTTAAATCTCCCATCAGCCACAATCGCCATGGGCAATGGGCAACACTCATATCTTTATTCAACACATCAGGAGAACACCAGATTGAGAAGATTGAATTTCATGAGCTTTGCAGATAAAGGCTCAGGTTGATGAAATGGTATATATATATATATATATATATATATATATATATATATATATATATATGAAATAAAAGAGGTGATCTGACAACAATTCACCCATTGCTTTTTTTAAAAAAACTTTTCATTTTCCTGTAGTGTTATAACTCACAAGATGGAAACAGAATTGAGGAATTGTAGGAATAGTGAAGGATGGAAAAGTAACTTGTTCCAATGTGTCACACAAATATGATCATAATTCCCACTGCAATGAGTGGGGGCTGCACACATAGATCATCATCAGTAGTCCATGTTCCTAGTGCCTATGTAAGGCAATTTATTGGATTAGGTTCAATTATCCTACCTGGAGAAAATGCAGCTGAAACAGAAGGTCCACACTTATAATAATATGGCATTTCATTCTATTATGTATTAGGTTCATTCTATAGATTTGGACCAATTACCTGACCCAGAACAATAAAAATATTTTTAAAAACAGCTAAAATGGAAGAACCACACTCATAATAAAGAGACTTTTCATGTTATTTTAAGACCCATCTTCATATTCCCTCAAGATTTTCAATCATTCACCTTTTTCATTTCAGAAAAGACATTTTGTTTGGCATGATTTAGAAGTGTTTCCATATTTTTTCAGTTGTGTTTGTGTATTTATTTATGATCTCTGTCTGTTAACCCATTTTTGTGATACATGTTCAGTCATTTCAGTGCTGAAAGGATATAAAGAATAATCACATCTAGAAATCCTAGTATGATTGCCTATAAAAAGGCTAACATTTCATTTGAAACATAACTCGTAATAAATGGCTGCTTAGATATGAATAGTTTAATCAGCCATCAGTGAATACAACTGATTAGGTATAGATTAAAATGATGAAAGTACAATCAAAATGTGTCCACTGCAAGTATACTGAACGATGATAGCAAAGTTGCAGACAAGCTCTGTAAATCTGTAGATAGAACAAAATACCATTTCATTTAATTTTCAACTGTCAGAATTTATTTATTCTTCACTCATAAGAAGAGAAATTGTTGTACCATACATTTTAATTGGTACACAAAGCAATTAATTATTCAGAGACAATTCAATCAACTTATTTGAAGGTCTTTAATTTGTTGATTTTGCAGAGGCTGACATTATTAAAGGCTTGTACTAATTCACTGAAATTCTGTTTTGCTTTTTCAAGCATCCATAATTTTAGTATGCATTTTACAAAATACAAATTATTTTGACCTAAATACACCTGTTCTAGTCTCAACTATAGTAGATCCATTGAATCAATGAGTTTTATGCAATTATTGTCTTGAATGCAAGAATATTTATTACATGTGTTTGTATCCTGCCTATCCTCCATTTATCTCAAAGTGATGTGCTTGCCTCTCCCCATTTTGTCTTCATAGCACGCTTTGTGAGATAGGCCAGGCTAACAGCACTTCACCTCTGTTACGAGGCATGGGCAATCCATGGTTCTAAAGTACTTACAAAACTAGAGGACGCTGGTGCTTTGCTTCTATAGCATTGCTAAAGTTCTGGTGGTGAAAATTTCAGAACTCTAACAAAACTTTCAAAAAAAATTTTTGCTATTGGTGATTTTTATGACAGAATCAATTAGGAACTGCCATTTATAACAAGATTTTGAACATTTTGTTAGAGTTCTGAAATTTTCACTATCAGAACTTTAGCAACACTATAGAAGCAAAGCACCAGCACCATCTAGTTGTCCAAGTACTTTAGAACTATTTAGAACCATGGATTGCCCATGCCTATGTGACACTTACTGTCTTATTGTGACTGTCTCATGGCTATTGAAGGCATGGACTTGGTTCTCTCAAACTGGACCTCTTACCACCATGCCACCAGCATACCATAGCTTGCAAAGTATTGCATGGACAATTACTTTGAAACAAATGTTATTGCTGTGGGTTTCCTCATGTCTCATCTTTTAAGGAAGCAAAGCATAGGCTTAAACAGTAGAAATCCTCAGGAACTAATCAGATAATACTGATAATTCATGGATTACCTATTTCTGAGACTAATGCCATGTATTCAAGGAACAGTTATGTCATGATCCCTTTACCATTACACAATACAGCACTTCACCTACTAATGAAACTTAAATTTTGCATCAAAAAAGCAAATGGAAGAGGGAACGTTTAGCATTTTTGTAACAAACTCCAGGATTACACATAGAATGCAGACATGATGGTCATAAAGTGAAATCATAGTACTATTCTTGTTTTCAGGACATGGCAGACAACTAGGTAAGGCCCTCAAGTCAATATGTGTATTTATTAATACAGTGCTCTGAGATTTGACTAGTTTTACAGTAGATATTTGGTACTTACCCTTCTTTTTTGTACAACATAAAACCAGTATTCACAACTGCTGATAGAAGACAGACTGGTTATGTGCTTAAATTAGAGCACACTGGCTAGATAATGGTAAGTGAACATGTCCATGAAAGATTGCCATCTTTCTGTTGCATCCCAGAGTTGGCTTTGTACTAGATCAGTTCCATGGTAGCTGAATGTACCTTCAGTCATCTATAACAGCATAGCTGAGGGGAAATTGCAATTATCACCAAGCCCTTATTGTATTCATACAGTATAGGTGTTTTATACTCTATTCAGTGAACTGTATGAATGCACCTACCATTTTTCATGTATATCTGTTACAGATATGCATTCTTTTCAGACTAAGCCTGACTATGGAATCAAAACAGGCTGTTTCAGAAATATTGGTATTTCCTCAAAGTGTTTCAAGTTGTGCTGACAGGGAAAAGTACATACTGAAAATCCTGTCCCCCCAAAAGTCCTAAAAAAAGCAAGCTTCATTTGATTCCCATACAACCAATTAGGCCAAATATCTCTAGGCTGCACAAGGAGCTTAGGGCTTTATTTATTTAGAAATCTGTGTCCTTGGAAATAGTTTAGGGAAAGGGGAACAACTTCTCACAATGCACTTGTTTTTTCCAAGATCACTGGTTGCTCTCAACAGTGAGGAGATGGGTAAATGTCAAAGTAGAGGCATAACAGCTTTGCTTTTTTGCTAAAGATTTTATTTTATACATTCTAAGGTCCTTCTAAGTAATCTTGAGTTGAACTGTCTTCTCATCAGAATTGCCAAAGCTGAATCCAGACTATTATTCTGCACAAATTCCTAAACTTTCTTGCTTTCCTTTACTGTGATTTAGCACCAGGTGGATTTGCAGATGTAATTCAATATTTGCATAACAAAGATCTCAGGATAGATATTCAGTAGGATTAGCTCTAAACTTCAATTCATTTGCAAACTCACTAACTGTAGATGCACTGAACTCACACACAGGTACGGAAATTTCTATAGTGCAAAGGAAAGCAAGAGAAAGTTTATTCCCAAACTCTAGTCCTCCAGGTGTTTTGGACTTTAACTGCTAGGAACTTCAGCTGCCTTGGCCAATACCCAGGGATTCTGGGAGCAGGCTCATCAAGAAAGCAGCAGCTGTTTCCCAAAATTAGGACCTAAGAAACAAAACAACAGCTCAAGTGGAAACAGCTGAAAGATGGAGTTTTGGAGAAGAAAAGCAAAAAAAGTATTTGGTTCCTTAAAGGATCAAATTATTGCTCCAACACAGAGTAATTCAGAGAGGGAGGTGTTGTGATTCACCAGATGGCTTGAGAAGAAAGGAATAAATCAGAAGTCAAAGACTTATAATGGAGCATTACATACCTGCTATAGTAAGTAAATGAAATAAATGCTGAGAATTTCAGTGTCAGAAAAGTGGGCATAAATGCACACTGAAAGGTAAGTCCTAGTTCACCAGTTATAAGAAACCGAGCAGATTTATGGTGTTGGATAATACAATGATATAATATTAACCAATGTCGATGAATGATAAAAATGATTGTTATAGGTTTTAGTAAACACGAATCCACATCCTTATTTTGATTGTTTATAGGCTGAATTAGCAGAATAAAGTAAAAGGGAAAAAACACTCCTCCTCTCTCTTTAAAAAAATTCCTTTCATTTAAAAAAAATAATCAAAACAGAAAAACTGGTTTAAATATTTATTTTGATTAATGTCTGAGCCCTGAGAGTTTATTTAGACAGCACAGACATTTATTATAGGCTATTTAAGAAAAAAAAAGACAACATTTAACCCATTCAGCACAGCACAATATATCAAGCAATGAAGTATGTCATTATTGCACTCGAACTAGGCCTGGGTAACAACGGAAAAATTTGTTTCTAAAATCGATTTGTATTTGGGGGTTTTTTTGTTTCGATATTTAAAATAATTACAAAATTTTCCTTTTAAAAAGTTCGATATTTACCAAATTTCGTAAATGGTAAAAAATTAACGAATCGATTTCCGAAACAATAACGAATCGATTCGTTAATGGCGGACGCGACCGCGAAATACGCTAAAAAACCTCCAAAACCTTCTGAAGCTTCCCTCTCCCTCTGTTGTTGACTGTTGGTGTGATATTATAATTGTTTTTCACTAATTAAACCATAAAACTGGCCCAGACATGCGGAAATAATAACGAAACGACCTCAAAACAATAACGAAACGAATACAATATCGAAATACGAAGCATTTACAAAACGTTTTTGAAAATTCGTTTTTTTAATAATTGCTCCAGAATGGTTCGTTATCGTTTTGTAATTGAAAAAATTTACAAATTATTAACGAATTACGAATTAACGAAACGAAACCGCCCAGCCCTAACTCGAACAACTACTAGTTTTAACTGTGCAAGAAAGTTTGAAGATGGAGGAAATGCAGTACCATCACATCAGACATGTAGAATTTTTAGAAAGAAAGCAATGACATACTGTATAGACAAATCTGGTGATTAGCATTCCAAGAAAGCTTAGTGATCTAATAGACTTTCTGTGTTGGAATAATTTTTAATGAAACTATTTTGGATGGCATTTTTTCTCATGTGCAAGAACTATTTTTAAAAAAACCATCTTCCCATTAGGCTAAATTATTTCATAACTCTGGAAAGGGGGGAATCGTCTGCACAAAAAACTAGAGCTTTTTTTTTAAAGAAAAAATTGAAAACATGAAATTTTGCATAAAATGGGGATTTGTCTGAAATATTTTCCCCTAAGAATTCCCCAGGTGAAAATAAATCTAGTGGTGTCTTCTCATTTTGGACATATGCTTCAATGTGCAGGGTGTAATGAATTGAGCAGTATTTGCATTCATAGTGCTCACCAAAGTATTGCTTCAACCTCATGTCAAATTGGTCTGAAAAGATGTATGTGAGGATAGTTATTTGCCTTACGCCAATAAAAATCTGGCATACATAAGAGTAGAATTGGATGACAATGTCATTGAGACCCAACAATGAATCTCTTGAATTACCTTTCATTTATAGATGCACAATATTCTAATAAAAGCAGGTGGGGTCTCTGAAGATGTTTTGGATGTATGTTGTAGATGTTTTTCTAGTCAATTGAGCTTGCTCTCAGATAAATGGGCATTGGATGGCAGATTGAAACACTGTATAACTGAAAGAAACTGTTCATCACATGGCAAATTTTCCTCCACGAGTTATGACTACACATGGAAAATTCTCTTTTGCATACAGCTCTGCACATTTTGGACTTTTAATAGTAAGAGGAAGGTGTCTTTTTAGCTTACCTTTCTCTTTGGTCCTTCACCCAAAGTCTTACACGGGTCAATCTAGTACTGATTTTACAATCGAATGAGGTATTCATACAACGTTTTGGGATGGGGGGTTATAGGTGAACACTTCTAGAGGAATGTAGATTTGAACAGGATGGTTTGTATGATGCCATAAGCATTTCATTGGGTCTATTTATTGGTATTAGGGTGGAAAATAGATGTTCCGTATTATAGTCTGTTGAGTGGTGTGGTGTTTGTATTTTGTTCCTCATATTTTTCTTCATCAGTTAATAATCTTGTTGCTCTAAGACCTTTGTGAATACTTCCTGATTCTTTTAAGGGTCCAACATTATACTTCATCTGTGGTTAAATTCTTGTACCTTTTAAAATAGGTGACGTGTATGCAGTGGTTACATGGCGATCATACAATGCTGGAAATGATTGAGAAAAAACGTTGCCTCTGCAAGGAAATCAAGGCACGGCAGAAGTCGGAGAAAGGACTTTGCAAACAGGACAGTATGCCAATCTTACCAAGTTGGAAGAAGAACACAGGGTCCAAGAAATACAGTCCCCCTCCATATTCCAAGCAACAGACTGTTTTCTGGGATACGGCAATATGAAATGAACATGAGGGTTTATCTTCCACACGTCGCAATGTGCACTGTCAGCCTACCTTCCTCATAAGGCAGTATCTGGTACCTAATTTCAGGTGAAGGTCTACCTAGGAATAATGCTTACTGGAGTGGTATCCACATGTCAATCAAGAGAGAAATCTATGTCTACCACGGAGCAAAGGCATGCACATTTTTGAGGATTCTTTGCCTGAAGAAAAGTAGTAAAATGTAAATATTTTGCCAATCTCCTTTGGAAAAAAACAGAGTTATTATACTCTTTATAATGCAAACATGTAAGAAGAATTTTACTCATATACTGTTTTAATGGTTTTCAATGTGTTATCTTTATGCTTTCTTAAAAAAAGAAAAGAAGTTGTCTCACCTGCCTAATTTTTCAGCCTAAATCCAAATTCCTAATCCCAACTAGAGTTGCCACATTGAATCAGTTGCTAAATGGCACAGCAACATGTATATGTATCCCATTGAGTAGGGTTTGCTCAGGTTGGGACTAGCCATTGGATTCAGGCCTTAGTGTCTTTACAAAAGCATGCAGTTGTACATTTTTGGATTAACAGTAAGTTGTTTGAATCAAACTGGTGCTAGGGCTATAAATATATCATTTGTTAGAAGAATTTACTACAAACGCCTTTCAGCAGGGGCTGGACAGAACTGCAAAGAATGCAGGTTAAACAGTATTCACTTGGAAATCCAAAATACATTAGCAATGTGTTGTTCTGCACATTTTATGGAAAGTATATTTGCTATTCTATAATTGTATTAATAGGGCATCAGAAATATCAGCTGTTTACAAAGTATGCTCTGCAACCTTCCTACATCAGCTTCACCCACATAGCTTACTATTGCTTAACCAGGATCACCAAGAGGCCCCAATCCCAAAAACCTTGTATAAGGATTTTTACTACCTAACAGCACTTGGTACCTCTTAGAGGGAATATTTGGTAAAAGTGGGTTCTTACTCATCCCACTCTCCAAAAATGTTACCAGAACTGTCAACTATGTTTAATGGCCTTCATTTCAGGATGGGGACATTTGAAATCTTAAGGAACATAAGTTTGTATAATATAAAGGTAAAAAATGGTGAATGTCTTGAGTGATGCTGATAAACTAGGCTGGTTTAACAAGCAAACTAAATTAACTGCAGAAAATTTTATATTCAGTGGAGTATTATTCTTTCTTCTGTTCAGATAATTTGTGGAGACCAGGGTTCACTGTGACTAAGGACTGTACATCACATGATTCATTTATTCTTTATTCATTTAGCAGGTTGAAATTGTGATAGTGCAGCTGTATTTCCCATCCTCATTTGTCGTGGTCCCTGAAAGTAAGGTAACAATCTGTTCACAATGTTCATATTACTTCTGTAATATATTGTATTCTGTGTCCAATTAGAATGAGTTAATGTTAAGTCTCACTAAAGTCAATGGGAAAGGTTGACTTCATCTTGGAAAGTTTGACCCTTTGAACTGGGTCTGTAAAGCACATTTCTCTCAAGAGATCATTGTTGAATTCCTGGTTGATCCTGTAATTGGGTCATAGTCCTCTGTGACATCACACCCATCTAACTAGACAATATAATGTCATGACCAAAGAATTATGACCTCTTGGTTTTAACAGGAGAAAGAGATGGTTTATATGCTGTACATGAGGGTGAGATCTGTGCATTAAAGTATCTTCCAGAAGGCACTGTGTAGGATAAGATTTTGAAAAAGATCCATATTGCAGTAGAGTTGATGTGATCACATATATTTTATATATTAAAATTTTTTATCTATGCTTCTAAAAGTTTGGTAGCATGAAAAGGTTTCTCTTTTAAAAATCATTTAAAATATTATATTCTCAGAGAAGAAGAAAATGTGTCATTTGAATTTATTGTCATATTGGCTTTTTCTTTTAAAATAATATTGACAGCAATGCCACAAGTGTGAATGCTGATCAATAAAACCAAATAAATAAATAAATTAGTGGGTTATTTTGTAATCTATATTGCTACAATTGACTATTACTTTATCAATAGTAGTTTCTTTCCAGACTGAAATAAAAAATAAAGTTTTTAAATATTTTATAACTAATGTATATTTTGATGTCCAAATTGATGATTTCTGTATCAGATTTTTAAAAAAGGTGGAAGTTTATAAGTGTGAATAGTAGCTATTTATGGAACGTTATTTATGTTTTATCAGTGTAAGGACACAGGCACTCGTATATGTTCAAATTGCCATGATGTGCATATGCAACAGCTGAAAGTGGTATATTGTTCAGTCGCTAATGTACAGGTGCTCCCATGACTCAAGAAAGAAAATCAAGTACAAACATTATGGCAGAAATCTTTAACTTTTGTAGGGAAAAAGTTATATGCAAAAGAAAAGGCCATTCTTAAGAAAGAAATATGCTGAAATTGCTACTTGGAGATTTTGCAAAATTTCTAGCTCTCCAATCTGGAGACTTGACTGTGTGAAGTTTAGGATAAGGCAGAGTTTTCAAAGGATTGGTCCTTCTAAGAATAATCCTATTTTTCTTTCTGCGTTTTAGAATTCAACTATGATGAGATGTACTTGAGCTTCAAAAGTCCTTGAGTCAGGGTGCAAATATTCATAGTTTTAACAGTCACCTCAAATAGAAAGCTAGTATGGTACTGCCTGGATTCTTTCTGTCTTGGATATTAGTCTCAGTTACAAATATACTCAGTGCTCCATCCCTACTTCTACCCCAGGGGTCCTCAAACTTTTTAAACAGAGGGCCAGGTCACAGTCCCTCAAACTGTTGGAGAGCCAGATTATAATTTGAAAAAAAAAACATGAACGAATTCCTATGCACACTGCACAAATCTTATTTGTAGTGCAAAAAACACTTAAAATACAATAATTAAAATGAAGAACAATTTTAACAAATATAAACTTATTAGTATTTCGGTGGGAAGTGTGGGCCTGCTTTTGGCTGATGAGATAGGATTGTTGTTGTGTGGTTTAGAGTCGTTTCAGACAGGTTGACCCTGAGCGAGGGCTGGGTAAATGACCTTGGAGGGCCATATCCGGCCCCTGGGTCTTAGTTTGAGGACCTCTATTCTACCCAACTGCTTGCTACAAAATCTATCATCTCTCCAACCTTTGTATTTTCCCATCATTCACTTCCTCCACAATTGAACTTCTATGGCTCTCCTCCTATTAAGAATGAAAATAATATTCAAAATATTCGCAAAATGGCTAAAAAAATCATGTTTTTAGAATGTGGAGAAAACTTGATGAGAAAACCCCTAGGCTTATGAGACTCTGTTGTAGTTCAGAAATAATTCTGTACAAATTTGCACATGGCTGGTTTATGCAGGAAATAGCATTTTCCACACAACAAATAATGTTCAACACAGGAAACAAAATAGCCATTTGAGATTTTGTGCAGAATACCCTTTGCAAAGGTTTCAAAGGCTTTCACTCATTGGGAAGAAAAATGTTAGTTACTTCTTGCTTAAAGAGGAACTAAGTGAAGATTTATATTCCTGCCTCCTATTCACTCCCACATGGTCACATGGACAGGAATAGACCTGGAGGGGAAACACATCTGTATGCATCCAAGATGGAAAGGACAAAAGTTTGTTTCTTCACACTCCCTTCTGTAGTAATTGGCTCAAATTATCTTGAAGCAAATCTTATGTTCTGTAAAACCTCAATGACCCACAAGCGAGGTCCCTGTTTCACCTCCTCAATATTTCCTATTTATCTTGTTATCAATGGAACTGTCAGCAAGAGAGAGAAGGTTTTCCCATGCATTCGTCTTTGTTATGGTGCTGTTATTAACAGAATAATGACCAACCAACTAGGAGCACTAGAAAATGTACTATTCTAAATGGCCATTAAGGAGCCCCCGGTGGCGCAGTGGGTTAAAGCACTGAGCTGCTGAGCTTGTTAATCGAAAGGTCACAGGTTCGATTCCAGGGAGCGGCATGAGCTTCCACTGTCAGCCCTAGCTTCTGCCAACCTAGCAGTTCGAAAACATGCAAATGTGAGTAGATCAATAGGTACCGCTCCGGCGGGAAGGTAACAGCGCTCCATGCAGTCATGCCGGCCACATGAACTTGGAGGTGTCTACGGACAACGCTGGCTCTTCGGCTTAGAAATGGAGATGAGCACCACACCCCAGAGTCAGACATGACTGGACTTAATGTCAGGGGACTACCTTTACCTTTACCTTAAATGGCCATTATACATATCAAGAGTAGTGAAAAAATGGCAATTCTTGAGTATGTGTGGCTATGTCAGAAGCACATATTTGCTGCTACAGAGAGGTTTCCCTCTTCCCACTAGAAACCACCAGCCATAAATTGATTTGATGGAATGGGGTTTGGAAGATTATAGGAGAAAATGATGGGATTGGGCTCCACTGATCTCCAAGTCAAGGTTTGATGGCTCCTTTACAACATAGATTTGACTCAGGATAATTTTAGCTATTTCCCTATTTTAGAAATTCAAGGCAGTCTGGGATTTTAAAATGTACATCCCTTTGGAAATACTACCCATGATAGAAAGACATAGGTAATTACTCCATAAGCGGGGGATATTCCTACTCCTGATTTTACAGGTAATCTCCCATCTAGCATTGTTAGATGGAGGTTGGTAAGTGACCCAAGAAAAATCAGCTAAGATTTGACCTTTTCTTTAAGGAAAATTAAAATTCTACTGGTTTTAAAATTCTACTGGTTGCATGTTTAACATCATAAAGTCCTTAGCTGCATAAAGCAATTTTTATTTAAGCGCATAGAAAACAAACAAAAGACAAGCCTTGAGTAGGTCATTGTTACCAAGTGTCTTATACTAGCAATGTAACCAGCACTGCACAGTTTAATCAGTTACTATCAGTTTCATTATTGTGAATCCATATAAATGAATTCTGGGATTTTTAATTTAGTGACCTGCTTAGAATTATTTCCAGTAGAACTCTATATAACTTCCTTGATCTGCAGTTCACAAGACAGTGAGAAAGGGGATTGAATCAGGGTACTTGATTTATATATATGGAATAGGGCAGTTCAAGAGATACCACATAGATCTAACTGTGTAGTGAAGTTATACTTAGAGTTTCCAACTTTAGGCCTAAAGTGTCCAGCGAAACAAATGTTCCCCACCGCTAGTTTGGAAAAGATCCCAATGACCAAGTCCACTGATTTAAACTAGCAACAGTAATTTTGTCATTCTGAGGTTATACAGTTTCGTATTTGTGACTGTCCGTGATACAGATAAGCACCCAAGTTGAATGAGCATGGCTGGTCATCACATTTAGCTGCCAGAGGCAAAAAAGCCAGATGTTACCTCCTCTCGATTGACATACAAAAGCCATTTGGACTGGTAATAAAATATTTTTAATATGAGTGACAACATTCTTCACCACACCAGAAGGCAACAAGAGAGGTTAGGACCTAGCTGTTTCCTTCAACAGCCTGCTACTGCTTCACAGCAGGTAATAGAAGAGTCAGCACTGGGTTGTTTTAGGTTTTTTGGACTCTATGGCCATGTTCTAGAAACATTCTCTCCTGACGTTTTGCCTGCATCTATGGCAGGCATCCTCAGAAGTTGTGAGGTCCTCACAACCTCTGAGGATGCCTGCCATAGATGCAAGTGAAACATCAGGAGAGAATGCTTTGAGAACATGGCCATACAGCCCAAAAAACCTACAACAACCCAGTGATTCTGTCCATGAAAGCCTTCGACAACACAGAGTCAGCACTTTCAGCCTTGTAGCTGTGTGAGCATTTATCACTACTTGTTATCCTCTCCCATGTCCCAAGAACTTCTTTTTTTATTGAGAAGGTCAGGGAGCACATTTGAGTCACTGAGGATTCTCAGGTATTCCTGTCAAATGCTCTAAATCTCCTAGGAGGTCTTTCAAGTGTCTAAAAGGAACACTTGCAAGACTCATCAGTCATTGAAAACCCAGTAATGGGCTGTCCCTCCTTGAAGTGATAGTTCTGTTCCAAGAGACATGGTGTGCCTCTGGCTCTGACCAAATGCTATTTCAACATTTTTTATATTCTCTGCTACTTTTGCAGGGGGGAAATGCCAGGAATTAGCAATGGGAGCTCATTAAGGATGCAATCCCATGGACATCTACCTGGGAGTAAGCCCCATTGGATCCAGTGGTTCTTTGTTCTCAGTACACATGGATAGAATTGTACTGCAAAAGCTGTATCGAAATATGCAATCTCTGTAACATCCAGGTCATGCACATATATATATATATATATATATATATATACTCACATGCTTACTGACTGTATATATGACCATGTTTGATATGCACTTACCTTTGTTTTTACATTTCTTAAGTTCAAACGTTCTAGTGTAGCAATTTGTGTCAAGTGCACTGTGATTTTAAGAAGCACAGTAAGGTCACAGGTCTTGTTTATTCTTGCACTAAAAAGGTGTTTACGTATATTGGCAAATGTATGTTTACTTTATTGCGCTTCCTCCTCCCCTTAATTTATAGCTCATGTTATTAAATAGAAATTTTTAACAAAAAAAGTGGCCAGTGGCCCAACCTATAACAGTGACAGGGTTTTTAAATGAGATGAAACCATAACATGTCCATTCCTATGTAATATGTTTACCAATATTTTAAAACTGAATGTCATATTGCTTTTTTTCATATTTCATTAGAAATGTCAGGTACGTGCCTGAAATGTGTATGGAGTAGATAGATGATAACTGTAATCATATATTAGTCATTTCTATATACACAATGTGAATACATATTAATTTCATTTCCTTTTTGTACTTGATTTTTTTAGGTAAAATGTAATTAAATGTACTTTGATACTTCTGAAGTAATAAGATGTCGTTTGACTATCAGTTTTTGCTTTTTCTTTTGTGCATTGACAATATTTTACAATAACTTAGTGCTTATTTATTTGTGCGCCAGTGTAATTATAATAAAAGCAATAGTTTAAATATTCAGCCCTTTATCTCTGATTAATGATGTCAAAATTCAGGCTGGGTCTGGTACAAACTATATAAGAGATAAATAAAGCTTTGGTCCTTTTACATATAGTCAGGTGTGATATTTATCAGAGTAATATTAAAGAATATGTTTCTCGTGGTTTTTAAAGAGGTTCTCCCCCAAATGATGAAAAACGTATGTTTATCATGGGATTTTTGTCACTTACGCTCTTTGCATTTAGTATCCTTTGTTTTCTGATTGGCCAATGGAACATAAAAACAAATTTGATTGTGTTTGTTTTAGATCCTGGACAAATTATATTTGTTGGAGTTTTTTAAAAAAAAAATACAAAATTACAAATAACCATAAGGCATTCACATGATTACTCGGTGTCTTTTCTTTCCCATTACTTCATGATTTGGGGACATAGGGACCACCAAACGCAGCACTCAAACACGAATCAAGGAACATGAAAGGCACTGCAGACTAATTCAATCAGAGAAGTCAGCCATAGCAGAGCACCTGATGAACCAACCTGGGCATAGCGTATTATTTGAGAACACAGAAATGCTGGACCACTCTCAACCACCATGTCGGACTACACAGAGAAGCCATTGAAATCCACAAGCATGTGGACAATTTCAACAGAAAGGAAGAAACCATGAAAATGAACAAAATCTGGCTACCAGTATTTAAAAACACCTCTAAAATCATAGCAATAAATAAAGAACAATTGATCAGTAGCAGCTGCATTTCCCACCCTCAACTTATACTCGAGTCAATACATTTCCACGTTTTTTGGGTGTAAAATTAGGTGCCTCGGCTTATAGTCGGGTCAGCTTAAACTCGAGTATATATGGTATATACCATTAACAAATACAATTGAAAATTATTGAAAGCAGTAAAGGTAAAGAATGCCCAATCTCTTCATAGTATAATAAGTGTTGATTAGCAGCATCTGTGAAATATAATTTTGGGAGAAATCTACTGGTAATGGGGATTTCTCCAGTCTAAAAGTAATTTTACTGTTTTGTAAATCTTATTTCCATGGGGATCATACAGAAGAAACATCCTGCTGGATTGTGCTCTTACACGCAAATTCTTCAAATTATATGCCAACATAAAAATGTTAAATATAGATATTTGGGATGGTTTTATATTATTAGATAACTAATTGAATTTCATGCTGGAGACAGAAATTGCTATTGGCAGCAGAGGCAACATGTCTTGCAGAAATGTATATAAGAGAATTGAGAAAAAGAGGCATGATCTAGTATTAATAATCTAAATTAATGTTGTATAGTCTTAATTATATGCCGAATTTGCTTAATAGAACAACGTGACAGGTTTCCTGGAAACTCTGCTCATGGAATACAAAGAGAAAGATGACAAATCTGAACTGTGAGAGTAATAACCAGATCTTTGTGCATCTTCAAACAAGGTAAGTAACTGGCATATCTTCAGGTGATCAAGAGGATATTTTAAAAGCCAAGTAAAGAAAAGGTGCCAGAATGAAACAATGGCCAAAATTAAAGGATGCATTGGCAAGAGAGAGAGAGAGAGTGAGTTGTGGGATGTGATCTCCATTGTCTTCACAGCAAAGAGGCCACTGAAGGAAATAGGCAGTAGTGGTCACATACTGGAACAATTGATACAAGTCATCATAATCCTTCTTTTATTCTGGTATATTTCCCTCCTACAATCACAATGGTGTTTTTTGTGCTTTAGTTATTTTAAAATGATTATTACAAATTTTATCATTTTTTCTGTTGAATTTCTTATTACAGAAGATGCATAAAATTTTACTACTATAATTGAAAGCCCTAGTTTTAATCTTAAATGGCTTGTATGAGTCCATTTGGAAAACTGGCTTATTAATACTTTTTTTTAAAAAAACTGTTTTTTAATTTCCACAGCTATTGACCCTGTTGGTTGGAAGAATTTTGAGACTTCTGGCTCAAAAAATAAACATTCCTTGCTGTGGTTAGGACCCTGGTGCCTTAAGGGCTGCTTCCACTTGAATCTACATGTTTTGGGTGATCTTTTCCAGAGAAATTTCTACCACCTCCTTCACTGGCGAAATGGATAAGGCTTGAAAACAGTTGTTTTTGGTTGGGTCACACCAACACTGAGATATGTTCCTTAGAAAAGTTTACCTATTAACAAATCTATCCTTTTGACACTAGGTGAGAACCTTTCCATTGGCTTTGGGCCTGTTAGATAGTCATTTCATGGACTGGATATTTATGTCACTTTAGTATAATGCAATAAAATGGGGAAAATAACAAAAACATGTTGCATTTTTCCATGCCGAGGAGCCTGTTGTCTGCTGAGGAGCCTGCTGTCTCTGATCATGTTGCCGGCATGTCTGCATGGGGCACTCTTTTACCTTCCTTGAATGCTTTCGAACTGCTAGGTTGACAGAAGCTAGGACTAACAGCGGGAGCTCTATCCGACTCACAGTTTTGACCTGCCAACTCTCAGCAGATTTCCTACAGCTACTGGTTTAACCCGCTGTGCTACCACAGCCCCTGACAATGTTTTTCTAAATGTGACATCAATAAGAGGAGACATTCCTGTCTGGTTCTATACAGCTTATTCGTTATATTGTTGCAATCCTTTGGTCCCCGAGAGTATATCTCATGGTTCATAAAGGGAGTGGACTCCTACTTTAGAAGGCTGAATTTCTCCAAAAATTGTTTCTGATATCATTGCCAAATTTCTCTTTACAAAATATATTTGTCTAACTTCAATATTAACCTTTTTTCTTTAAACAAAAATAGTGGTGAAGGACCCAGACAGAATGCTGACTCTGGGATTTTGATTTTGACAAGGTGTTCTCTGTCCCATACAGATCTTCCCTTAGGGTACAAGCACTGGCTAATGTGAGAGGAAAGAATAATTAATGGAGCATTTACCGTGCTACTAAGCTTCGAAGAACAACCTCTTCAGATTTACCTTCAACAGAGAGTATTATATAAAGGGTTGATTTATCTCTGAATGAGACTGTGTTGGCTGGCTCAAATTGCCAGAGATAAATCTCAGCTTTAATGAAAATTCAATAGCAACCAGCCCCTATATTTTACCAACAATTGGGATATATCAGAGGTCTCAGTGTGCTGTAATATCTTTTTTCAGCATCATAATTACCATTTTCCACCCTTTGCCTGTGTTATTGATGAACTTTATTCAGTATTCCGGTGCAATGTTTTTAAAGCTCCTTAATAAGTACAACATTCTCATTTTTTTCACTCCCTTATGAGAACCAAAAGGGTGAAAAAACTCTGACTATAATTATTTTAAGCCAACGAAGGAAAACAACCATAAGTACACATTTTTGTCTGGAACATATTTTTAATATTGAAAGTCAGCAGGGCATAGTTGTTTGAGCATTTCCGGAGACTAGGATTTGCATCCTTGCTTAGCCATGGAAAAACACTGGGTGACCTTGGGCAAGTCATAGTCTCTCAGCCT